TTACGTCGGCCGACTGTGTAAAATATAATTCACAAATACGATACATTTATGATCGCTGACGCAATCCGGTCGTATCAAGGAATCGATTCTGTACTTTGAAACGAAGTGAAAATTACAAAAGTGAGCGAATTTACTAGAATACTGATAATTTTATTGGCCAACACCTAGTAAATTTGCTTACTTTTGTAATTTTCACCTTGTTTAAAGATACAGAATCGACTCCCCCGGTCCGATGGCTGCTTTTTCATGCTGACGCTCGACGCCTATTTTCAGCGTCAAAACATCGATTCTGTATCTTGAAACGAGGTGGAAATTACAAAAATTAGCAAATTTACTAGATATTGACACCGACGAGATACTATTAAAGACCGACAACCCTGGATAAATTTTCGGCGATATAAAAAGAGCCCGGAGGGATTTGAGGTAATTGTAGAGCGTTGTCATTATCGACTGCTTTGGCTGCTCCAAAGATAAATTTTACCTCATGTAATCACTGTTTTATCAGAAATGTATTAAGTCGATAAATCTAGAATGTTATAATAGAATGTGAAAGATAAAACAGGATTTAGCATTTGAGTACCACCCAGATAGCAAAATACCGCCACGGTATTAGTACGGTGAGCGTACGGCGTACTATAGGCCTGTTCTTTTTGGCTGAACTTTTGCACCAGTTCATCTTTCTTCCTCTTCTTTCCTTCCGGATAGAAAAGGAAAAACGATGAACTGGTGCAAAAGTTCAGCCAAAAAGAACAGGCCTATATATCACGTACCAGAGAGGAACTCTCTGCACGTACACTTTTTGTACTGCTACCGTACAGTTACGCCGTACACCGCCACCTCGTGACAGTACAGTAACAGTACGGTAGCGGTATCTTGTGCGAGTTGGTGTCGGTATCGTATGCTTGGTTATCTGGGTATAGTTTTAATAATTTCAGTATCAGATTGCGAATGTAAGTATCTTATTATTTACTACGTTTACACGGCACGCTTTACGCCGAAGTTATAATATCGATGTTATGAAAATGCCCAATCATAGCTGTTCCTCCGAGGAATTAAATGACTGTGATTGACCAATTTCATACATCGATGTTATAACTTCGGCGAAAAGCGTGCCGTGTAAACGTAGTAATCGATAATGGTTCATCTCATGATTACAAATTCATACGCTTATAATCGCGAGTCTTTATATGTCGCTTTTCGAAGTACCGTCGTGGAGATATTCAACATTGAAAAGTTATTCAACATTGAGTAAAAGAGTTCATTGTTAAATAACTCGTTGAAAAATATTGTAATGCAATGCACAGTTAAAGCCGGCTTTTCAAAAATATATTTGAGGTGATGCAACACCCGAGACAGAAGGAAACACGACCGACCTCCTCGAGTGGTCTCACGACACTACTCTACTATCACCAACTGATATCGCGCTCGTTGTCCACGATCCGGCTATGCCGCGCCGGCGAGCTTTCATGCGGAGCGAATAAGATAGCGAGGATTCGTCTTTCACAGCACGCTGAGAGCGAACAAGACAGAGAGAAAACTCGTCCGTTTCGCTTTGATTGCTTGATATCGCATGATTGCCGTACAAGCGATCGAGAATGTTTTCTCGCCTGTTTCCATCATTCGGAGTATACAGTGTCCGGGAAATCGCCGGCAATACTTCAAGAAGTGATTCGGGACCCAAAAAGAAGGAAAAAAGATATACAGGGTGTCCCATTTTTAATTACGCACCTGAATATCTCGTCTGGGGAGCCATCAATCCGAAAATAACCCTTACAAAAGTTGTTAGGTTCGGAGGGGAACATCGGATGGTGACCTTCAATTTCACCTTGACTTTGACCTTCAAGGTCATTTGAAGGTCAAATCGAATTTTTTAAATAGAAACCCCTATTTTTGACCCTGGATTCGAAAAATGCGCAAAATTTTACGTTTAAATGAGTACTTGAGGCTCTTCTTTGGAATGACCTTCAGAGGTTATTTCAAGGACAAAGTATTTAGACTAACAGTCTAATAGCTGTTTATAGCTGTTAAATATCAGTTTGATAGCTGTTAAAAACTGTTAAATATCAGTTTGATAGCTGTTAAAAGCTGTTAAATATCAGTTTGATATCTGTTTATAATAGACTGATAGCCGTTCGATATCGCGAAGCGCTGCAAATGATAAAAATGCTGAGGTGAATCCTTTCGAGTGCGACGTCTTCTCGTATACTTTATGGCTGAGGTGTATGATTTTAGACGAGACATTGTACTTTTTGTCGCTGATATTAGGTGCATCCAGAAGCACGACTGCTCATTGAGCGCTGATTGAGCTCTTGTATCTGTTTGGTCTATATTTTTCGATCTAATGGAATATGCCAATCAGATGCAAGAGCTCACTGAGCGCTCAGTGAGCGGTCGTGCTTCTGGATGCACCCATTGATTGTGATGATCTAATTGTTACTGATAAATGTTGAAGTTTATACGTGGAATCGTTCGAACGCGTGATATACTTTTCGGCTGAGGTATAAACTTTTGATCGGAGCGTTGTACTTTCGTTTGTTGATATAACGCATTGATCAAATTATAATTGATAAAAATGCTGAAGTTTATTCATGATATCATTTGATCACGTGATATAATTTTCGGCTAAGGTGTAAACTTTTTACCGAGGCATTGTTCTTCTCTTTGGAATGGTATCATGTTCCAACGAACATCTTTACTACAAAATCTCGCACAGCCCCCGCGCTGTCAGTCATTTCCAAGTCAGTAGGTCAGTCAGATTGCTGTTAGTGAGTCTTGCAATAATGGAGTGTATTAGTGATTTGTTAGATGTTGTGTGCAAGATACAAATACATTTACCACTATTAGGTCTGTTCGCGTTGCTTGCACTTTTTGCACTCAACATTTTTGCTTTTCCTCTTTTCAAAGTCAAATATATATCTATTTCATTTTAAGTGCAACAATATTTGGAACTTTCATGTAACGCAAACAGACCTATTGCCTGAGAGATTTGACAAAATAACCGATAATGTAAACATACATAAAAAATAATAACCAACGTTGTTCATCACATGCCAAAATCGTTTTCCATTGACGTTAACATTGTAGACGAGCGTCAACTTATGGGAAAATTGCAAGTACGTTTATATATATATATATATTAAGGGGTGATCCCGATTGACCACGTCTCGATTGGACACCACCAATCACAGCGACCGGTGCTTAGGAGCTTTGTAGTCTCAAGCGCAGTTGAGTGAGTGGCTCGTGTCCAATTGAGCCGTGTCCAACTGGGTGCCACCCGATGGACTAATAGTAAATGCTTTAGAACGTTGCATGTTCATCTGGTTTAATAATTGAATATTTATAAATCCTTGATATATATATATATA